AAGAAGAGGGGGTGGGTGTGCCTGTGTGTGTGCCTGTGTGTGTGTGTTTTAATTTTTGTGTGTTTGAAGTATGGAGCTTAGTTTCTCTGATGCTGAGTTTCTTCTGGTTTATGCTATAGTGAAAGCAAAGTTACGTTGTTGTAGTGATTCTTCTGCTATGGTGGATTTGAGTCAGACTTTCTCTTATTAATCTGACAAATAAATGAAATGAAGAGCAGTAAGTCTCCATAGAGAGAGTCTTGTGGAAAGTGTGATGACCTCATTTGTAATTAGTGAACTAAAATTAGTGAATAATCTTTCTTAAATAGCTGGATGAGGTAAGCTGATTTATTTATTCCTTAGATTTTGTCTTGCTATATTCACTGTATGTATTGTTCAATCTTAAGTATCCACCTACAACAAAAGCCAGCAGTGACTGATGCAAGCACTGACTGTATCTATTTGGAGTAAGAATTTTTAACAACTTGGCTTCATAAAAGATCTGACTGTATAACATCTCATAGAATGTTATCTGTGTTTTCAGGTGCACTATAATGTTGGCAAAAACCTGGCTGACAAAGGAAATCAAAGTGCTGCAATCAAATACTACAGAGAAGCTGTAAGGTATTAGAAATTGTACTGCTTTAATGAACTATGCTAAAATTGCTTTAATGTTTAACATGAAGAAAATTCTTAGGTATTCATTTTCATGATCTGCAGCATTTGCATAGAGTCATACATGCCCTATACATACTAATCATCTCTTAAATTTTACTTTTTAAATTTTAGGTTGAATCCTAAATACGTACACGCCATGAACAACCTTGGAAATATTCTGAAAGAAAGAAATGAGCTCCAAGAAGCAGAGGAGTTGCTGTCCTTAGCTGTACAAATACAGTATGATTAGAACAATGCTAAGCAGTATTTTGCACCAAGCAAAAATGATACAGTAGAGTTTTGTGTTCCAAATGCTCAAATGTCCTTTTCTTTCCCCCCCTTTTTTTCCCCCCCACAATTTGGCCAGACCTGATTTTGCTGCTGCATGGATGAATCTAGGAATAGTACAGAACAGTTTAAGAAGGTTTGAAGAGGCAGAGCAAAGCTACTGGACAGCAATTAAACACAGGAAAAAATATCCAGATTGTTACTACAATTTAGGGCGGTTGGTAAGTGCTTCTTAATAAATGATGGCTGTGACAGTAATCTGTGTATGTACATATATGTAATTCTGCTGTACTGTTAAATGCTGATAGTTATTCCAGTTTGCTTGATTTGTAGTTCAGGGTGATTTTGTATTTTTAGTAGTTTTACTACTGCTTTCCCAGTATACTTCCTTCCATACCACCTCTGGTAGTCCTACCTTTTCATATAAAGATATATAAACATAAATATAGATTGTGTTCTTTTGTTCTAGAGATATATTAATAATTTCTCAATATTGGACTGTTTTGCAGTCATTAGTATATTTAAACAAATTGTTAGGTAGTACAACTCTGCCAAAAAAATCCGTTTTGATTATTGGAAATATTTCTGTTAAATATTTGCTTATTCTCTTGTGTAGATTTCTAAATTGCATGTTCGTTTTCCTACCTGTCCTACTGGTACACACATATTTGAAAACAAGCCTGGCTCCCAGAGAAAAGCAGTGTAAAAGTGTAAAATTAGTATACAGCAGTCTATCTTGTATACTACCCTAGTATTCTTACATTTCTTATTTTTGTCTATAAAAACAAGTTCTACTCGAATGGAATGAGACATTAACAACTCTTCAGAGTCTTTAGTGCATGATAAGAAAGTAAAATGAATCAGGGTGAAATGACTGGGATGTTCTTTGGTTTTAGTATGCAGATTTGAATCGCCATATAGATGCATTGAATGCATGGAGGAATGCTACAGTTCTGAAACCAGAGCATAGTTTGGCTTGGAACAATATGATTATACTGCTTGATAACACAGGTATAACCCCAGTTGAATGTTTTGATGAGTAATTTGGTGTCTTTCAAAACTTAAAGCTTTATCTGTATTTATCTGAAGGGAGTTCTGCCTCTTACTTGGCTACCAAGACACTCTGTATACCTTCTGACTCAGTAGTTTTAGAGCATCACTTGAAATTGAGCCCATAAATTTTATTTCCAGTGCTTGTTTGAAATGGCATCATTGTGCGAGCATGTTTGTATTATAGACCAAACTTCGGAACACTTGAATCTTTGCTTTATTGTTCTTCTGAAAGTGTTATTTGTGGTAAACAAAGTAGAGGTTTTCTATTTTCTTAATCTTCAGTGCTTTACATTTGTGTGTGTGTGATAACTGGTTTTCTTTAAAAATGCATGTAATCAGCTATTCATACACTATGCATGCTTGCAGCATGAAAAGTAACTAATAACGCTTTGTTAAAAGATGCCTTCTCTTTTTCCACTACATGGGCTCGCAGGCAATCTAGCTCAAGCAGAAGCAGTTGGAAGAGAGGCCCTGGAACTAATACCTAATGATCATTCCCTTATGTTTTCATTGGCAAACGTACTGGGGAAATCGCAAAAATATAAGGTAGGTAACTAGAGCTTTCTGAGTGTTGGGGTTTGGGTTTGAGGTTTGGGTTTTTTTCATGTTTAAACTCTTAAGTTTTTTGTAGAAACTGTTTGAGAAGGTCCTTGCAGACTATGAACTTAGATACAGGTTTCAGTGCCCATTTCTGGTACAGTATTGCTGTGTGATTCTGGCCTAAGTTCATCCCACCTTATTTTAGATGCCTGTGTTAGGAATGTTGCTGCCCTAAACTATGTCAGTGGTCAGTGGGGAGAAATAGGCTCTTAAGCACACTAGAGGGCAGTTGGGGTCTTGTATTGCTTCACTGCCGATGGAGACAGCCTGCTCTGATTTAGAGGCCTTGGTTCAAGAACTAAAATTAGAGGTAATTAATTGGGTAATTACTGTTACCCAATATGAATTCTAACCTCTTTGCCTCAGATGCTATCTAAAATAGAGATATTAACAGGTTTGCTAATCACAGATTGAGGATGGGATAGCTGGGTAATCCCAGAATATTATAAGTCCATACATTGAGCAATGTATTGAACTTTCTCTTGGATGCAGAGGACCAGCCTGCAAGTGGTACCTCAGCATTAGCTACTTACATTTACAAGTAGTAAATGTACTGGAACTGATGAGAATGAGTTATTTTCGAAAAGGAATTGCATGAGCTGACAGAGAATAAATCATACACAGTTAATATATTTTAGTTGTATGTATGTGATTGGGACAAATTAATAATTAAGGAAGTTTTTGGTATTCCTCAGAAAAACATCATTACTGAACTATGACTTTCGGGGGTTTTGGTGGCTTTTTTGATAGTGATAATGTTAGCAGCGCTGAAGGAAAATCCTCATTATATGCAAAGTAGGAAGATTTTATGATGTTAAATTTCTAGAATATATACATTTTTCCACCAATTACTGTGTCCACTTAAATGTCTACAATCCTGTTTGTGTAGAGCAAAAAACTTAACTAGTAATTTGAAATGGATGGGTTATAACCGGGAGGTCAAGTTAAGTGAATTGGAAAGTGGACTTACTTAGAAAAGGTTATGTTCTCAGCAGCAGTATTTTGCATTGCCTGGAAGGAGGAGATACAGGGTTTTTTAAGTGGGAGAATGCTAAATGACAATAAAAAGCATGAAAAATCAGATTTATTTTCTACCCCTTGACTATGTAAAAACAGAGAGAAGTGGATGGCTCTTTAAGGATTTTTACTGAGTGTTCAGGGTGGGAAGGGAGGAGGGGGGAATAGACACTGTCAAGGTGGTGGAGGTCATTTTCAGAGTGCTGCCTGGCTGTGTCTGATGTGTTGTATAACCTCAGACATTTCATTTATTAGGTTACTTGTTATGTGTCTGTATAAAAGTTATTACTGTACTGGCTCTGTTGCCATAAAGTAAGATTTGTTCTGTGTTTTGTTTATTTTTTTTGCTATCTCTTATCTTAAAAAATATTGAGTCAAAAAGGTTTTACTATGTTATGAGAGATTTCCTTCCAATAAGCACACAGTATTCTTCAGCTTCAAATGCACTTAGGTTTTCAGCAGAAGATGGTTTTCCTAAGTGACCAAAAAAACCCTAACCCTTTATGATTTCTGATTGTATCTACTCATGAATGATTTATTGTTCCAGAAACAAAAGCGCAACAAGGATGAACTGTTTTGGTGGCTTTGTTTTGTTTTTTAATTAACATCTGTTATACCAAGTTAGAGTTCTTCTTTAAATGCTTGTTCTTGTTGCAATGGATGAAGAACCAAGCTATCTTTAGTTCCTTGAAAATATGTAAGCTATATTTTTGTTATGTATACATCTATGCTTTTTCTGTAAAAAGTACAATAAATTAAAACCGTTCAGCATTTTTTGTATTTGAAATAAAGCCAGTCTACAATTTTATGCTGTGGCCTTGTCAGCAAATTGAATGCAGTGTGCTTACCCAAAGCCTTTGCTACAGCCAGTGTGCAAGTTTCTTGGCAGCACTTAAAAGATTTGGCAAGATAGAGCAATTTGAAATATCACCGGAGGTACTGGAACATATATTTACTCCATATATCTACAGTAATATGAATATGATGCACCTTAAATAGCCTTTAATCAGCCAGTATGCTTCTACTAGCTGCTGAGCAAACCAGTGGTGATAAAAATGTTTTCAGCATGTAGTAGAAGATGTATGGTAATGGGAGCCAACTCTGAGAATATTTCATTAAATTTCTGGGAATGCATTGCACATGTTGTCCCATCATGCTTCAGCAGTGAAAGGATGAGTCCGTACATTAGGTGCTTCTCCTTTGTGGCGATGGCAACTTTTAGGCATAAAACTTAATTAATTGGACAGCACATCTTTCACGTTGATTGCTGTTAACCTGTCCAGTGAAGAAAGCAGAGATCTACTTATTAGACCAAAATACTAAAATTTCCAGTGGAAAAAAAATACAACTTTGTGGGACTTGTGACTATTGCATGCTTTCAAGTGCCAATCCACTGTTGATTTTTAGGCTTGGATGGTTGTACGAAGGAGGAGGTTACCTTGCAACACTACTAGACTTGCCAAATGTTTCAGTATGTTCCTCAGGTGACTGAGTTAGAATCATAGAATAATTTTGACTGGAAGGCACATCCAGAGGTTATCTAGTCCAATCCCTGATCCAAATCAGGGCCATCTCCAGTTTAATCTTGAACACCTCTATGGATAGAGATTCTAAAACCTCTCTGGACAGCATCTTCCAGTGCTTAACCACCCTTATGGTAAAAAAAAAAAAAGTTTCCTTTTATCTAACTGGAATTTACCATATGCCAGCTTGTATCCATTGTGTCTCATCCCGTCTCACAGACTTGTGAGAAGAGTTTGTCTCCATCTTCTCTGTATCATCTGATCAGGTACTTGTAGATAACAATAAGGTCTCCCTTTCATCTTCTCTTCAGAAGGTTGAAGAGATCCAGTTCCTTCAGCTGCTCCTTGTATGTCTTGTGCTCCAGCCCCCAGCCATCCTGGTGGCTCTCTGCGGGACTTTACTAAAGTATGTCCTTGCCCATCTTGTAGTGGGAGAACCCCGACCCGAACGCATATTCCACATGTGGTCTCGCAAGTGCTAAATAGAGGAGGAGGAGGACTGCTTTACTGGACCTGCTGGCTGTATTTCGACTTAATATGCAACCCAAGATGTGGTTGATCACTTTGTTCTGAGGGTACACTGATGGCTTGTTATGCAGTTTGCTGTCTACCAGGCACACCAGCTGTTTCCAATATGGTTTCCCCCCAGCCTGTACTTTTGCATGGGGTTATCCCATCCCAGATACAGTACTTTGCATTTGCTCTTGCTGAACTTCATGAGATTCCTGCAGTCCAGTCCTGTCCAACATCTTCAATATTGATCTAGATGAAGGGGCAGAGTGCACCCTCAGCAAGTTTGCACATGACACAAAACTAGGAGGAGTGGTTGATACATCAGAGGGTCATGCTATCATCCAGAAGGACCTAAACAGGCTGGAGAAATGGGTCGTTAGGAAACTCATGCAGTTCAGCAAGGGGAAGTGCAAAGCCTTGCAGCTGGAGAGGAACAGCCTCAGGCACAGTACATGGAGGGGGCCAACCAGCTGGAAAGCACCTTGGCAGAAAAGCACCTGGGGGTCCTTGTGGACACCAGATTGATTGAACATGAGCCACCAATATGCCCTTGTGGCAAAGAAGGCTAATGATATCCTGTTTTGCGTTAGGAGTGTTGTCAGCAGGTTGAAGAAGGTGATCCTCTGGAGTCCTGTGTCCTTCCCAGAGAGCCATACTGGAGGGAGTCCAGCGAAGGGCCATGAAGATGATGAAGGGACTGGCGTGTCTCTCCTATGGGGAAAGGCTGAGAGAGCTGGGATTGTTTGGCCTGGAGACGTCTCAGGGGGAAGATCTCAATGTATAAAAATACCTGAAGGTGCAAGGAGGATGGAGCCAGGCTCTTTTCAGTGGCGTTGAGTGACAGGACAAGCAGCACTGGGCCCAAACCAAAACATGGGATGTTCCCTCTGAATATCAGGAAATGTTTTTTTGCTGTGACTGTGACTGAACACTGGCATGGGTTGCCTGGAGAGGTTGTGGAGTCTCCATCCTTGGAGATGCTGCCTGGATGTGGTCTGGGGCAGCTGGCCCTGTTTGAGCAGGGAGGTTGAACCAGATGACCTCGAGAGGTCCGTTCCAACCTCAGCCATTCTGTGATTCCTGATAGTCTGTTTCTCTGTCCTGTCCAGATCCCTCTGAATAGCAGCTGTCCCCTCCAGTATATTGATCACTCCCTCCTCTTAGGTGCTATCTGTCAAGTTTCTGAAAATGCATCCAGTCCTATCATCCAAAACATTAATGAAGACACTAAATAGTATGGATTTCAAAGAGACCGTGCATCCAGGAACATTATAGTCTGGGTATGACAATGCTGGAGCTGCTGCTTCGGCCAGGGAAAAGCAATGCTAAAACTTGCACAATGGAGTCATGTACTCCCTAATCTTTCAGACGTCTGGTTCCCTTGCTCACTCCTTTCCAAGTATTCCTTCTCCTGAAACAGGATGTTCTGCAAAAGGATTGGTATGCTAGACCACTCTCCATCATCTTTGGT